GTAACAAAACTTTTCTGCAGCTTTTATCTCCATGAAGAACAAAATAGAATGAGATTTTGACGACGACAACGACGATGATAAGTAATTGAATTAGCAATTACTAATTAGTAAAAATTAAAACTTAAAGTTAAATAAATGTAAATTTAAAACCCCTGACCTGAGAAAGAAAGGCAGTGAAATGTTTTCTTTCTGTCTTTTTCAAACCAAGAAATTATTTTATAAGGCAATTTTCGTTTGAAATCAATGTAGTCAACCAAAATTAAATAAAAATTAAACTTTATTTCAATTAAAAATAAATTAGTTTAATAATGTCTTATTAAGGACGCTCCTTTCCAAAGACAACTTTTGCAGAAAAGGGACATTAATTGAAACAAAAGAGCCAACTGGCCTTCTAACATCTGCATCATTTGCATGGAACTGATCATCAGATGAATGGCCGAAACGTTGCTCACACTAATCTGTCACTAATTCAAGATTTTAAAGCAAAATTTGATGAAAGAAACAAGCAGGACACGAGAATTAAATGGCTAGACGAATGTTCTACCAATAACCACATTCAACATACTATATAATGAAAATGCATGCAGTAAACAGAACCAACTCAGCCAATCAGAGCACGAGAATTTTCTCAACAACTTTCAATCAACAGTCTCTAAAGAGGTTTAAAAGTTTGCCATTAAATTTATAATATTGTGAAATAAGTGATTTAATACAATTAAAATTAATTGTTAATTCTAGATGACAACAAATTATATCTTTATTTGAACATTCTGCAAACTCAGCTGACCACTTCTTTAACGAAATCCAACTTTTATCGTCTATTCTCACATAAAATAGATTAAAATAGCTTTGATGAATTATTTAGCTATACATAATCGTTAATAACTTATTTTATTTCAAAGAATTTGATGAAGAAATGGCATTTCAATAGAAAAAACACAAAATTGCCTGATTAGTAATGCTCATTAACATGGCAACGGTATATATCGCGTAAAAATAAAAAAGATTGAGGGTTGCTTTAGGTTGAATATACCTTTCGATTTGAATAAAAATTGTTTCATTTTCTCTTGTTTGCATTTATTGAAATAGGAAATATTGTTTAAAAAATTTCATTACGCATGATTTGTACGTGACATAACACGTGTCTGCACCAAACAAAAATCTTAGCAACGAAACACTAGTAAAAACTAAACTAAAAAAAAACTAAACCAACTGAAGTAACCTTCACCCTTGTTAATAGGCCAAAGTGGAAAAATACTTTTTTAATGGTTTTTTTCTATGTTGATTGCATTCTCTTTATTTGTTGTTTTTTACGTGGTACTTTTTAAAATGTTAAATCCCTTAAAAAATGTCTTAATGAATTTTCAAATTGGCCAAGTGCAGTTGTCATCTGTTTTAAATTTATTATGGACTATGGTCATATTCACTATTCATGGTATATATATACTAGATATAATTATGCATTTATTCTAGTTATGTGTTTGTTACATTATAAAAATTATATTTATTAATATTATCTTTTATAATATGTTATAGTAGAGTGATTAGAGTTATAGATTTTTTTTAAACACTTATTTATTTTATCGACTGGTTATTTGTTTTTGTTGATATGTGTAAAAAACCGAAATGCCGTAATTATCGGTGCAAAAAGTTTAATTATATATTCTCGCAGAATCTACCTGCACATAAAAATTTACCATATCACGTGCTATTTTGAGAAAATGTTTTTCGTCATTACAACGATATTTAAATATTGTTTATTTATTAAGTTTTCCGTTTCAGTTCCCGTGATAGCTCAGTTGGTAGAGCGGAGGACTGTAGTAGTGAATTGTAGCTATCCTTAGGTCGGCGGTTCGACTCCGTCTCGCGGGACTTTTTTTTTTATTAATTTTACATATATTAAATTGCTGATACGTTCAATACAATGAGAGATATTTACACTCAAGTTTTTGGTGTATGTTTTCACGATTAAGTTTAGCGTTGTTTAAATAGATATGTAACAAAATTATCAAATTTAATACAAAAATTAGCAAGAAAATATTTTAAAAATGCTTAAAAATTACATATTTTTATTAAATCAACATCTAAGCAACAATTTATATGTGAATATTTTTTAAGTGCAAAAGTATCTCACAGAATAAATAACATCCAGCTTTCCATAATTACTTTTCTTAATTCTGCTGTTAAAACAACTCTATTTTCTAAAATAAAAAATAAATGGTTAAATTGCTTCGAGTTCAGAATTAAATGTTCAATTCTAAGGTTTGAAAAAAGATTTCTTATTTTAAATCGAATTAAAAATTAAAAAATTAAAAATCTAAATTTTAATATTCCGGATCTAAAGAAATCGTTCGGTTAGTTAGTTAGGTGATTGTCAATGTTGATTGTTTTGTTTTTTAATTAATATGGCGTATGAATACCTTTTCGTCAAATTTCTATTTTTATCTGAACTCATTTTCCTCAGTTGTAATAATCATTAAAAAAACCACTAATTCACGAATTAGGAGGAATTAAGATTAATTTTTTGTGATTACTTTCAACATAGCAACAATTTCCCCCCAGTTATCATTTCTTATCACGAGATGTCACTTTTTCTAACATTTTTAAAATTTTTTTGTAATTATTCAATTAGTGCCCTAGCTTAGTCTAGTAGTCATAGTTTTAAAATTTAAAAGTTAATTTCATCAAAAATCATTAAATCCTAGATATATTATAATGAATATATTATTTTATGTCAGTTATATTATATACCAAAACATAATAAAAAATCAAATATTATATAATATATATGTATGTATATATATATTGTATATACTAATATATGTATATATATATATATTGTATATATGTATGTGATATGTATTGTATTATATTCTTATTATATATAAAATTATAAACTAACTAAATCTTAAACTAAAAAGTAAATTGATAAAAATATTATAATTGTTTTATTATATTTTATAATATATATCATATTCATATCTCAGATCATATTTAATTATCATATAGTGTATTGTTTACTTATCATCTGCTATTAATCATGTGTAAGTCTTTGTCATTAATATGTGGTTATAATATTATAGATATATTGATTATATATATATATATATATATATATATATATATATATATATATAACAACAACAACAATAATAATGATGATGATGATGATGCTGATAATTCTTACATTCTTAACACACACACATATATATATATATATATATATATATATATATATATATATATATATATATATATATATGGTTATATTATGTTTCTTTTACTCATAAGCTTGGTTGTATCATCTGTATCTATTCTACTTTGTATATGAATAATGATAATGCTATCATTGATAAAAAAAAATAATTTTTTACAGTGCATCCACGACTCATTGAAGAGATAATGAAATAAAATAACAACAACAACAATAATAATGAGGATGATGATGATGCTGATAATTCTTACCTTCTTAACATCCTGATTAGTGAATGAATGAATGAATGAATGAATGAATGAATGAATGAATGAATAGTTGAATGAATGAATGAATAGATGAATGAATCATGGAATCAAAGATGAAATAGAAGAAAGATTGTATAGATATAAAAGAATAAAATAAACAAGAGAAAAAAATGGATGCTTTGAACTCATACAGCTCAGTTAGTAATGATGTCTTTCTCTCTCCCTCTCTCTCTCTCCCTCTCTCTTTTTCTTCCACTCTCTCTTTCTCTCTCCTATTTGTATATAGAATATTTATGTATGCTTTAATTATAGGTTTACATATTGCAACCAATGACATCAACAAATAGCAGTGATGTGTGCAGCAGCATTGCTAACAATAATAAAAGTTTTGAGGTTTGTGTTCAATTGCTTGCTTTCTTGATTTGATTGGCTGGTTGGTGGTTTGGTTGGCCGGTTAGGCAGTTCATTGGTCAGTTGGCTGGTTGGTTGGTCAGTGGGTTGGTCGGTCAGTTGGTTGGTCAGTGGGTTGGTTGGTCAGTTGGTTGGTCAGTGGGTTGTTTGGTCAGTGGGTTGGTTGGTCAGTTGGTTGGTCAGTGGGTTGGTTGATCAGTTGGTTGGTCAGTTGGTTTGTTGGTCAGTTGGTTTGTTGGTCAGTTGGTTGGTCAGTTGGTTGGTTGGTCAGTTGGTTGATCAGTTGGTTGGTCAGTTGGTTGGTCAGTTGGTTGGCTGGCTGGCTGGCAGTTTCGTTTGCTTATTATTCAATTGGGAATTGAACTAGGAACAACTATTTTTAGACCTACGTCCTTCCAGCAACAATAACAACAACAACTGGAGATCAACAACAACAAATGCAGCAAGTCCAGCTAATTGATCTCAACAGTTTACTCAACAACAACAACAACAACATCAGTAGCAACAACAACATCAATAGCATTAACAACATCACATTTCTCAACAATGGCAACACTAACATCAACAATTTGAACAACAGCATCAACCACAGCAACAACAACTTGATCCAACTGAACAACATAAACTTGAACCAATTTTTCAAAAGTCCTCAGTCGATCTCAACGAATCTCAACAACGTCCTCTTGTTGAGCAACAGCAATAACATCAGCAGTGTTAACAACAACAACAACATCAACAACAGCTTCGTGAATGAAAATTCAACGAACAACAACAACTTTTTAACAAATAACATCAGCAGTCTTAACAACAACATCAACAACAATGCTATCAACAACAACAACAACATTAACAGCTACAACAACTTTGTTAACAACGTATCAGACAACAACAGTCTACTGATATTCAACAACAACAACCAAACATTGCAATACAGTTACTCAAACATCATTTCAGACAACAGCAACAACGTTAATGCCATAAACAGTAATAATATCATTCAAAACAACAACATCAACAACAACATATCTGCATCAACTCTTTTCTTGCATCAACAACAACGCCTTGCAACAACAACAACAACAACAAATGCATCAACAACAACAACAACGTCATCAACAACAACAACAACAAAGTTGTTTACATGTGATCAGTGTAGTTGTTCATTTGAAAAGTGGGCCAAACTACAAAAGCATTTGAAACAACATGATGATGAATGCATGTATCGGTGAGTATATTGTTGTTGCTGTTGTTGTTAATGTTTATGATGATGATGATGACGTTGATGATAATGATGATGATGAGGATGATGACGTTGATGATAATGATGATGATGAGGATGATGTTGATATTGTTGTTGATGATGATTTCATATCATCAAAATATCATTTTTGTCCCATCCAATAGTTCATTAATTCATTCATCTATCATTCCATCCATCTATCAGCTCATTCATTCGTCTTTCAATTATTCTATCTATCTATCTGTCTGTCTGTTTGTTTGTCTCTGTCTGTCTTTCTCTCTCTCTCTCTCTCTTTCTCTCTCTCTCTCTCTCTCTCTCTCTCTCTCTCTCTCTCTTTCTCTCCCTATCTATCTATCTATCCATTTATTTATTTATCCCCTAATCAAATTGTTCATTCATCCATCTCTTTAGTTATTCGTTCATGAACTTTCACTTCAAACAATCTAAATAACCAGGTTTATCATTCATCCAATTGACCAATCAATCAACCATCCAACCGACAAATCAATCAATCAACCAATCAGATGTGACAAATGCGACATGTCCTTCACCTTGCAACACAATCTTGACCTGCATATGGCTACACACAACGTAGACAATTTGGTCAGTTTTTATTGATCGATCGAATGAATGAATGAATGATTGGTTGGTTAGTTAGTTGATTGATTGATTGGTTAGTTGATTGATTGATAATGGTTTTTTTCCTTTCAAAGATTTAAATGATAGTTAACTGTTAAACTAACCAAACGACGAATCCACTCTTGCATTCAACCAATCAATCGCTTCATCAGTCAGTCAATCAGCCAATCAATCAATCAGTCGATCAATCAGTTAATCAATAAATCAGTCGATCAATCAGTTAATAATCAATTAGTCAATCAATTAGCCAATCAATCAATCAATCAATCAATCAATGAAGGAGTGTCCGACCTGCCACAAAAAGTTCCACAGACTTGCCAGTTTGAAGAGCCACCTATTGATGCATGTCAAGGAGGAAGTCTTTGCCTGTGATGTTTGTCAGGAGGAGTTTGTTAGTGAGGTCGGTCAGTTGATTGGTTGGTTGGCTGGCGGTGGTTGGTCGGTGGTTGGTCGGTGTTGATTTGGCTGGTTGGTTGGTTGGTTGGCTGGTTGTTGGTTGGTCTGTTGGTTGGTTGGTTGGTTGGTCTGTTGGTTGGTTGGCTGGTTGGTCGGTTGGCTGGCTGGTCTGTTAGTTGGTCGGCTGGTTGGTTGGTTGGTTGGTTGGTTGGCTGGCTGGTTGGTTGGTTGGCTGGTTGGTTGGTGTTTATAGTGAAATGAGTACTTAGAGTAAACTTTTCATAAGCACTGCACCGGAGCTGTTTTTGCATTTGAACTCCGCCAATGCAACACATACGACCGGTACTTTACCGCTATGCTACCCTGCCACTTCATTTCATCACTGGATGATTAGCATGCGGTGAAAATGGATTTGAAAATAGGTGGCTGTTGATTCAAAATTTTTTGTTATCATTGCAATTATCATTGCTTGGTTTTCATTGCCGTTGGCATCGTCACTCTGTATATTCGTTCTCGCCACCCAGGTTCAGCTAGATCGACATAGCAGATCTGCACACAGGTCAAAAAAGTTGTCCAACAACATCAACAAAACTACCAACAACAACATCAACAACAACAACATCAACAACAACAACAGAAATGGTCACATAAGCATAATCAACTGTGATGGTAATCACAGCAACAACAACGACAACGACATTGCATTGGCATCATCGACCTTGCATCATCATTACAACAACAGTAACGAGAGAGCAACAACAACAACAACAAATGACGTCATCATCAACAACAACAACAACGGTAATGATGATGATAACGATGTTGACGATATGCAATCGTCATCACCATCTTCGGCGATGATGACGACGACGAAGGGAGCGAGGGGGGCGCCGGTGAAGAAAAATAATTTATTCTGCAACCACTGCAAAGTCCTATGCAAGGATGAGGCTACTCTGGAGAAACATCACATCTACCACAAACAGATGAAGTTAGTGTGCGTGTGTGTGTGCGTGTGTGCGTGCGTGCGTGTGTGCGTTTTTGTGTGCATGCGTGTGTGCGTGTTTGTGTGCGTGCGTGTGTGAGTTTTAATGGGTATTTGTGTGTGTGTGTGTGTGTGTGTGTGTGTGTGTGTGTGTGTGTGTGTGTGTATGTTGGTGTATGTGCCTGTGCTCATACAAAGCATACAAAACTGAAGAACGGTGACATTTTGCTGACAAGCAAAATGTCAAGTTCCTTGGAGTAACTATGGACGGCAAATTAATGTTTGAAAATTTTTGCATCTCTATCTATCAGCATCTTGAAACAAGCCCAGAAACTTTCTTTCGTTACTCTTTCTCCTTCTCTCATTTCAGTCACTAATGAACTAACATTTTTATCAATATCTCACTTTGTCCATCTCTTTCTCCCCTCTCCTCCCAGACAGTCACTCTCTCACCGCAAGTACTCCATCCACAAGGACCGGTCGAGATTCGCCCACAGGTGCAAGTACTGCTCGAAGGCCTTCCAGAAGTTCAGTCAGCTCGCCAGGCATAACAGGATACATACAGGTTGGTTGGCTGGCTGGTTGGTTGGTTGGTTGGTTGGATGATTGGTTGGTTGGTTGGCTGGCTGGCTGGTTAATTGGTTGGTTGGTTGATTGGTTGCCATCATCATCATCACTATCATCATCAACATCATCGTCATCAGGTGAGCGACCTTACGAATGCAACATCTGTGAAAAGACCTTCAATCAGAAAGGTGCCCTTGTTACTCATCTTCATGGCCATACAGGTTGTCATGATGATGATGATTGTGGTGATGATGATAATTATGATTGTGGTGATGATGATGATGACGATGGTTGGTGGTTGTGATGTTGATGATGATGCAAAGAGAATGGTTATTGAGACGCTGTTAGTGGCAGTTGTGATGACGACGACGATGATGATGGTGGTGATGATGATGATGATGGTGGTGGTGATGATGATGATGGTGGTGGTGATGATGATGATGATGGCGGTGGTGATGATGATGATGGTGGTGGTGATGATGATGATGATGGTGGTGGTGATGATGATGATGATGGTGGTGATGATGGTGGTGGTGGTGGTGATGATGATGATGGTGGTGGGGGTGATGATGATGATGGTGGTGGTGATGATGATGATGGTGGTGGTGGTGATGATGATGGTGGTGGTGATGATGATGATGATGGTGGTGGTGATGATGATTATTGTGGTGATGTAGATAATAATGGCGGTGACGAATGACTAGGTTTTATGTTAAAAATTGGAGATAAATTATTATTGGATGTGAACTGTCCACTGAAATGTGCTTCAGACTTTTAATCGTTATTTTGTATTTTATGAATTATTACCTGATTGTAGTAGTTGTTGATGTTCATGTTGTTGTTGCTGTTATTGTTGTTGTTATTGTTGTTTATGTTGTTGGTTAAAGTCGTCATGAGTACAAACAAACATATAAACAAACATACAAAACGAACAAACAACATACATACATACATACATATATTCATACATACAAGCATATATACAAACATACATACATACAGCGTCAGATCAGGCGACAGCAGGGAACTGTTTTTCGCAACTAACCACATTTCGTGCTTGTTGCAGCGGTTCCTGTGTGCTTGAAAATATCCAACTGAATGCCGACACGTGCAATTAACGACAAATCAAAGTGTTAATCCATTTGTTACTTGATGTTTGACGGTTCAGTGTCACTCATCATGTTTTGGTTTTAACATACGTACATACAAACATATATACAAACATACATACAAACATACATACATACATACATACATACAAACAAACAAACAAGCAAACATACATACCAACACACATACATGGCATCGTATAGCATGTTTCTTCACTTATGCTTAATTGTCTCCCACTGCCACTCACACACTGATGATATTCAGATATTCGTAGCTTCTTCTCCATTAAAAGAGACCTGTAACTTTGAATCTATTGGCTGAATGCATAAATGATGTTCAGTATTCAATCAACAAAAACACAGATTGATACATTGATTATTGATTGGTACATGCCAACAAATAACACAGTAAGAATCTGCCTCAGTCAACATTGGCGGGTGTAGAATTGAATTTTTAAGCTCTGCTACAAATTTAGGCTGTAAAATCGATTCAAGATCGATAATGGGTTCAGAATTGGTTAAGAATTGTTCTCTTCAATTGCGCTAGATTCTTCAGGTGGGAAAGATTTTAAACTATGGCACAATCGCGTCACTGGTGCACGCACTTAACGGTGCTAGGTTGGACTACTGCAACTGCCTTCTATTTGGGATATCGGGTAAATGGATTTCGATGTCCGAAGACGACAATATTAGTTGAAATCATTGCTGCTAATTTTATGAACAGTGGAGTGCGGATAAAAAATTTTAATTATAATCGGCGCTATATAAATTTTAACAACAACAACAACAACAATAATAATAATAATAACAATAATAGTTATAATAATAATAATAATACATATAAACGAACCAACAGGCAGCAGACCACACAAGTGCACTTTTTGTCCGTCATCTTTCACACAGAAGGGGAATCTCAGAGCCCATATACAGGTGATGATGATGACGACGATGATGATGATTATGGTGATGATGGTGGCCTTTGATGGTGATGATGACGATGATAACGATGATGATGATTAGGGTGATGATGGTGGCCTCTGATGGTGATGATGACGATGATGATGAGGAGGAGGATGATAATTACGATGATTGAAATGATGATGGTGGTCTTTAACGATCGCCAGAGAGTCCACTTCCTACTGAACGACGACGACTGCATCATGAGCAGCAACAGCGCCATCTCGTCGACACTGTCGCTACCTCCGACCACCGTCAACCACAACAGCGCCACATCATCATCATCGTTGTCGTCATCGTCGCCGTCGTCATCAGCCGCGGCGACGATGACGACCTTCAAATGCTACCAGTGCACGTGCGTCTTCAAGAAGTTGGGCAGTCTCAACACTCACCTGAGTCGGTGCCATGGTGGTGAATATCAGGTTGGTGGTGATGCACACACACACACACACGCACACACAAACATACAAACACACACACAAACATACAAACGCACACACACACAAACATACAAACACACACAAACACACAGGAGTCCCACCTGAACCTGGTAGACCCACAGACGGGCATCGTCAAACCCGTCTACACCGCCAACACCAACAACAA